CTCGAATACTGTAGTCACATGTGGGGTGGAGCTTCATCTTCTTCCCCTTCTCTTCTTGATCGTGTTCAACGAAAGGTCATCCTTCCCTGACATCCAGCCTACAGTCGCTAGCCCATCGTCGGGCAGCTACTTCATTATCCCTATTCTAACGCTAATACTTTAGTGTTTGTTCTTAGGAACTTGCCTCGGCAGTTTCTCTTCCTGCAACTTTTACCCGTGCACAGGCATCTAGTCATCCTAATCAGATTTATTTTCCTAGATGTCGTACTTCTCTGCTCCAGTCTTCTTTGTTTCCCGAACTACCAAGCTGTGCAACACCCTTCCCCTTGTTGTCCCCCTACCCAACTTGCAGCTTTTCACTTTTAAAACGCCGAATCAATAAACTGGATCTGACGTGAATGTTCCCCTACTCTCCCTTTTACAGTATGCTATTTGTTCATGGGGATTTTACTGTAATTCACATTTTGTAGTAATAAATAAATAAGCTGACCGCTCTCCTACATCTGGAGACTATTTTGAAGACTACGAGACACGCAGTCCCATTAAAATTAGCAGTTTCACATGGGTGACTTTGATGGTCCTAATTTCGTTGAACACTGAAACTATAAGCAGCCATTCGGGCAACACTTTACCCTGTTTATCAACTCGAATACTGCGGATAATCACGTAAGTAAGCACGCCTAATTTGGAACAGGGCAATCCTGATCAACACTGAACTTGTGGTGGAATTCGCTAATCAATTATCTGTCTTCGTTGGGTCGCAAAGGCCAGACGGCTGATTCACATCCACATTGATTTGGCATGACTCAAACAACAGATTTTCGCTGAAAAACAATAAGATTATTTGGTCAGCTAGTAATGACCTGCCGATAATCCGACCAAACTCATAACGGTTGCAAAAAGATCAAAACCTATCGTCAAACTACTACATACATGCCCATCACAAATACATATATATATATATATATATATATATATATATGTATGTATATTTAGTCGGTGATTACTGTCACACCCAGGGAGGTATGATGAGTTTCGCCTCTTCTTAGTTGGTTTGGAATCAGGGTGAACTGCCAGTGGTTCACTGACTCGGTTATAGCTTTGGATGTTGACTTCTCGTCCTCTCACTTTGGTGCGAAAAAAGCACCGCCACGAGAAGGCAGTGAGTAGGGTTTCCTCAGCAGGGTCCGTTTGCGACGCTTGGTCGTATCAGAGCATGTCGCGAGGTGCAAGGGAACGGTGACCAGCGGTAACCCACTCTGCGACAAACTAGCTTCGCTCACTTCACACCTCTGCGCGCGCTCAATAAAACAAGAAATAAAAACAGTAAGAAATGCATATTGTAAATCTGTATAGATTAATTCATAGCCCATATATCTGATTCATTTTCTGGAACGTTTTGTTGATTGTTTTCCCTTGGCAGACTTTGAAGGCTTGCAATATTTCTCGGACAGTCTATCCATTAAGTTGTCGAAATTGGAAGCCTGTTTCTCTCGGTTCGCTCTTAGGGCTAACATCAGTGATTCCATACCAGCGGCCTCGTTTTCTCCAGATGAGCTTACGGATTTTCTCTGTTTCTTTTTTTCAGCCTCATACATTTTCTTCTCGTTTGCCGCCCGTTTATTTCTCCGTGCGGTTTTCTTGGGATCCTCATTCACAAATGCGTCATACGCTTGTACTCTACCGTCCTTGATCAGCTGATTAACTAGACCACAAATACGTTCTTCCTCCTCGTGCGATGCGAGAATCATTCGTTCCATAATTACATCCATATCTCCTTTGGAACGTTCATACACATTGACCAAATCGTTTAATTCTTCCTCGCTGTTTCGATATTTTGCAAAAAAATTGTCGATATCATTCGTTGTGATTGGGGGGAAAAGTTGTCTCCAATACTGAACCCAATCCTCGTATGTTTTGTCCCCGAACGTATCTTCATCGTCAACGGCACCTGAAACGGGTTGAATTGGACGACTCTGTTCGCCCCCCGGGCTACTGGAACAGTCAACCTACCTGTCTCATCGTAGATTATACGTTTTTCCGGATCCGCCAGAAGGGAATACACTTTGGACAGAATTTGGAAGCGTACTGTACAGTCGCCTTGTTTGGAGTCTGGTTGTCGGTCGGGAT